TTTTTTTATTTAAAATGAGGTGGGAGAAGATACAGATTGTGAAATTGTATTAAAATGTATGTACAAACTATTCCCTTGTAACAGTCCCAGGCATACAGCAGATAATCCTACCTAATCACATCAGAAACAATGACATCGAAAAGGAGAAATGGTACAAATAAAAAAATGGGAACTATAAATCTGTGTAAATTAGCAGATTCCAAATAAGAAAATAGTGAAGTTATTGGAGTAACTGACTTGTTTCCTCAAGGTATGGAGTTAAAGGAAATTTTAGACACAAAAGTAGAAAGATGGAATTAGATGTAAAGGCATAGATTTGCTCATAGAAAAGGAAAAGACGTAATAACTTCGTATAGCATACATTATACGAAGTTATACGATATGATCCTCAGCAATTGAAATCCCTCTGGCCTCAGGGTTTTGTGGATGTGGGTGAGGAGCCTGTGAGGTCTGCCCCAGAGGTGCCGTGGTTGGGGCCATCTTCCTACTTTCCTTCATTTCTGTGTGACGTGTGGCCTTTCCAGGTCTTGGGAATAAGAATTTAAAATGGAACAGCTTTTATATTTTGAATTGGAAATTCTTATTTTTCCCAGTATGGTCTTACACAAAACTCTAACATATAAACCTGATAGAATATATATATATATATATATATATATATATATATATATATTTCTCACTCCGAAATATGCTCTGCACTGGTCGCAGGAGCTGGGCTCTGTGGGCAGAGTGGCAGCAGTGCCTCTAGACCAGTCCTGTGTCACCTTCCAGGGCTTCTGCTACTTTCCTCAGAAGAATGTTATAGAGATTTTCCTCTGTGTTTTACTCTAACAGTTTCATAGTTTCAGGATCCAAGCTTGGAAGTATTAATGGATGAGAACCTTAAAGAATTGATGGCAGACACAGAAATGCAGATCAAGGAAGTCCACAGAGCACCTCACAGGGTGAATAAAAGCAACAGCAATGAAGAACACACACACCTGCACGCACACACACACACACACACATACACGCACACATATACACACACACAGATATACACCCATGACCTAGATATTAAGTGTTATAACATTAAAACTGCTGAACTTACAAAATGTGTTTAGGTTTATAGATATTTATATATAAAGAATAAGGATAAGATTTACAGAGGACTTCATGTCAGAGTCAATGCAAATCAATATTGAGAGGTTTGAAATATTGAAGTGTTGGAAGCTACAACTACCAACCCCCAGGATTCTACATTCAGCAGAACAATCCTCCAACAGTGAAGGAGACCAGCATCTCCTCATACCCTCCTTCCATCCAGGAGGGAAAGACTATTTGATATATATTAAATTGCATGGACATTATAGCCAATAATTATAGATTGTATATTTCAAAATAGCAGAGAGGGTAACTTTTGAATGTCTCACCAAGAAAATAGTAAAGCAGAGTGATAAATATGTTGATCAGTTTGACGTAATTATTACACATTATACACATTTATCAAAACACCACGTTGTTCCCCATAAATGAATACAATTGTGATGTGTCAGTTAAGATAATGTTAATAAAAAGTGAAGGAGAAATAGAGCCTCTCTCAGACCACACAGTGGTGAAGGATCAGGGCGTCCCTCAGAATCATGAACAAGGTGAGCATGGCGGCGAGCACAGCTCCTACTCGACACCTTCAATGTGACAAGTGGACATAAACAAGCAGCAATCATGAGGACACATACACAGTCCTTGACGTTCAGGTGTGACACGAGGTGCTCTGGTTTCAGGACTTGCACATAAGGAGCTTGGACGTCATCACTTCCATCCAGACAACAAGAAAAACCCTGAACAAACCAAATAACAGTAACTCTTCTTGTGTGTGTAAAAGAAGTGAAATCACAGGGTAAACTGCTGTCCCCAAAATTGAAGATGCAGTCAGAAGACAGAGCGGGTCACCACTTGTCTGATCAGAACCTCAGGTCCGGCCCCATGGCTCACTCGTGAGAGTGCTGTGCTGGTGGCGCCGAGGCCGTAGGTTCGGATCCCATATAGGGATGGCCGGTGCACTCACTGGCTGAGTGTGGTGCAGACAACACCGTGCCGAGGGTTGTGATCCCCTTACTGGTCAAAAAAAAAAAAAAAAAAAAAGAAACTCAAGAGCACAAACCTGCGTGGTTTCCAGGACTGGGGCAGAGAAACCAGAGCTGTAGCTGAAGAATTGCTGAAGTCTCAGAGTGGGAAATCTGAGAGTTGCGTGCACCCCAGGGGGTCAGTCTCAGCGATTCCAACACTTTTAGACTCCACCTCAGGGTTCCATCTATGTTCCCAAAGAGAAGAATCCTCATGCTCCCAGAAGAGAAAGGGGGAAAGGAGCCATCCTGAAATACACCAGAGCAGGATGTGGTTTATGGGAGCCTGACCTCAGGGGAAACTATGTTAGCTGATCCTAATAAGTCGGGGTTTCATCACAGCATAACTGTCCTGAGAAAACAGAAATGCAAAACCCCTTCTCCCTTCACTGCTACTTCCTTCCAGCCTCCCCTAAAAGCATGTAAAGAGAGAAGCACCTGTGAATGTCATACCCAGAACACAACACACTAAAGGACAGAAATCATTATAGGACTGTGCAGTGCTTCCCCTACCCCACACCTTACCCACATCCACAGGGCTTCTGTGTAATAACAGAGAAAAGCTAAAACACCACATGCACCTTAGACACTATTCAAGAACACTCTATGAAAACGTAGTCTACAGAGCAGACAAAAAGAAAGACATCAAGGGACATTCTGTCCAGCTGTGTCTTGTCATGTCATCCTCTTTACAGGGGATTTTGCAGGGACAAAGTTTTTGATTAAATACTCCAGCTGTCAATGTTCCTTCCCTTTATTGAGCTGTTGTCTTCTCCTCTGTGCATGTGGTTTTTCCTGTTTTCCTGATAAATGCATATTCCCTAGATTCCCTGGTCTGCACCACGTGAGGTTCTGAGGTCTCTGCTTCACTTTTCAACCTCATTACATGACTGAGCTTCTGATCTGCACCTGCACAGGGCACAGATGGCAAGAACCAAGCAGGGCTCTAGGCCCATGGAGCTGAGTGTGTAGGGACAGATCTAGTGAGAATTTACACAACAGAAGACAGAGGATGACATTAGGGGAGTGTCTGTAGGACACTTGGGGAAAGAAGAGGGTAGGCAGGGGTCAGGGCTGATACCGGCGGGATTTTATTATCCAAATGGATTCTCCCAAGTTCCCTGGTGGTCTACTGGTTAGGTTTTGGAGTTCTTTCAAATGGATTCTCCCCATGGGAGCTGAGAGACCAGTCTTAGAACACAGTTCCCAAGGGTACCTTGAGAGACATGACCCAAAATTCAGTTCAGCAGGGCTGTGATGGGTGTTTATCTCTGTGCTTGTCTCCCTGAGTCCTCCACATGTAAGTACAAGAGCTGTGTCTGGCCCTCAGGCAGCTGATTTTCTGTCCCGGACACTGGGGGTTGGACAGAGTGTGAGACAATCCCTGAACATTAGTGTCCACAGTGTGGATGAGGATCCAGAGGTGAAACTGCCCCAGGCAGAGCAGGGACCCATAGACAGAGGCTGTGGATGCTGATGATAGCCAGGTGGGGACACGTGTGCATCACTGAGGGAAAAGACCCATGTAGGGAATTTGGGTGCGGGGGTGCACCAAATCCTAGAAGCCAGAGTTTGACAAGGATCCTCTGATTTGACATGGTGTTTGCAAGGCCTCATCGTGGGAAGGGGTGTCACCGTTCCACCCTCATTTTTTTTAGAGCCCTGTGTGTTTGCTTATACTGTTTTCTTTACTGCCTCATAATTATCGCTCTGGGGAAATTGGAAGTGAGATTAAAAGTTATACCAGAGTGTTTAATCATACTTATGACTCACCTGGGAGTCATGGTTATGAGTTCTTTGGAAGTGGTCCGTGGCAGCTAGGACCAGAAGGGGACAATGAATTTATATAAACATTTACCTTATCTGCTTCCTGAAGGGATTGTTCTTGATGCAATTAGAGAATATAATGGAGTTGTTATTAAAAAACTTACTTAAAAGTTGCTAAGCAACATAACTATTACTGTGCCTAACCTGCTTGCTTTTAAAATCAGATATAAACTTTTTTCTTTTATATATATAGATTCAAGTTAAGTTTTAGAGTATTTTCATAAGGTTTAAAACACTATAAAATATAGTAGAGAAGAAAATCTTATGTAATATTATGATATGTATTAACAATGGAAAAATACTGGTAAAGGAAACTTTGATTTCTTGCTTGCATTCTTTAATTAAGAGACAAGTTTGAATTGTGTTTCAGTAAGGTCATACAAAGTCCAATGTAGCGTAGTTTTATTTAAATAAATGTAATAGTTAATGATTATTTAGGACCAGTGGGTTTCTTGTAAATGTTCTATCTTGCCAAAAAGAAAAAATATTATAATCATGGAAACAAACTGTAATGTTATTTTTCTTAGAACACATGTCACTCACAAAGAGATATTATGATATTGTTCAATGATTATTTCAATGATTATGTTACCTCTAAGAAAAGGTATAAAATGTGTGTACATGCTTCAATAAAGTGTCAGCATTCAGCAGATCCCTTGAGTCTGTGTGTTTGCTGTCCATCGCTGAAGCTGCCTTTCCTCCCTTTTGGGGGTTTATCAGTGGGGACCCTACAATCTTTGTGCTGGGGCTGGTCCCCGGCAAGTGGGCACCTGGACTGAGCTAACCTTTAGGAAAAAAGTTCTTGATAAGTGGAAGATAAGGATCTTTAAAATGATGTCTGTGTCAGGAAAGAGAACAGGTTATGATAAAACCTGAGAAAAGAAAGGTCCCAGTGAATGGAAACATCTCATCTGCACAGGAGGAAAGATAACTTCACTCTGCGTTGCCTGCAGTGAAAAATTAAAGTCACAAGGAACAAAGCAGGAAATGACCCTGGGGAGCATCTGCGAGTCAGCAGAGCAGAGGAAACCTCAGATCCCAAGAGCAACCCCCATCCCCTCTCTGCACCTGCTCCATGGGGCACAGGAGCTGGGTGGGCCTTGAGCGCCCCCTGCAGCCCAGACTCGTCCTTTATCCTGCAGGGAGGTTTGTGACTGGGCTGATGCTGACTTCCTGTCACTGTGTGTCTCGCACAGTAATACACGCCCGTGTCCTCATCGGTCACAGAGCTCAGCTGCAAGAACACCTGGTTCTTGGACGTGTCTCTGGTGATGGAGGTGCAGCTCTTGATGGACGGGTTATAACCTGTGCTGCCACCAGAATTAATGTATCCCATCCACTCCAGCGCCTTCCCTGTGGGCTGGCGGATCCAGTTCCAACTAGCACTTGTGACAGAGCCCCCAGAGATAGTGCAGGTGAGGGACAGGGTCTGCGAGGGCTTCACCAGTCCTGTGCCCGACTCCTGCAGTGTCAGCTCAGACAGGACACCTGGAGACAAGGAGAGTCATGGTGAGTCTGTTCGTTCAATCCCACACCCAGGCCCCCGTAAACACCTGCAGCCCCCCAAGACCCTCACCCAGGGGAGCTTCCATCAGGCATAGAAGGAACCCCAGGGTCTGCATGGTTCCTGCAGGATGAAAACATGACACTGCCCCAGCTTGTGGCGGGTTTTTGTTCTGCCAGCATCTAGGCTCATTTGCATGTGTGTCCTGGGGTATGAGAGGCCTAGGCTGGGTGCCTGCCACCAGTTCCTGGTGACCCGGTGCTGGGTGGTGTGTGGAGCTGTTGAACCTGTCCTCATGATGAGAGTCAGCCTTGGCAGATTGTCCTCATCTCTTCTGGCTCTGGATGGGTTATAGCTGCAGCGCTTGAGCATGCAAGAAAATGCTCAGGCTCTCCCTTGTTCCACCATCAGGCTGTCAATCAGGGTGCTGTGGTATCACCCATGGGACTGTCCTTCTATGTGGAGTGGAGGGATGTGCACAGAGTCAGGACCTCTGCTGCCTCTGACTTGTGTCCTGCTGTACCTCTAAGCAGATGTGGGGTCCTGGAAGAGGCTCTATGGATCCACTGCCCAGTTCTCCATCTGTAGATGTGGCAAATGTGAAGAGACATATCCCAGCACTGATATAAGAGAGGGACCTTGTCCCTGGCAGCGTCCTCTCTGGGTCAAGCCTAGGTCAAAGTCATACCTGACAAGAGGCTGCACCCTAGTTTAGGTTTGGGACAATCACTGAAAACAGGAGAGAGGGATTCGGTGTCACTATGTTTGGGACAGAGTCATGGAATTTTTCATGGTTAGAGAAGAGGCCCCCGTGGCAGGACAGGCTAGAAGATGTGCGTGACCTGCACAGTGGCCTCCACTCTGCTTATCTTTAGATAGTGGCCGGAAGGCGGGACATCACCTGGCAGGACATGGTAAAATAGTTTTCTTTTTCTTTTTTTTCAAAGATCTTTTTCAGCTTCATGAACTTCATTTTATTTTATTTGTTTTTCTATTTAAGTTTTATTATTATTATATTCGGTATTAAAAATCATATTTTTTTCTTTACGCCCTTTTCCCATCATGTCACTCCCCGACCTCCCCCTTCCTCCTCCCCCATCTCTAGTGTCCTTAGGTTTGTCCCCTCCTTCTGAACGTTCAACTTATTCTTTTGGCCTTTCCCTTCCTCTCTCTCTCTCTCTCTCTCTCTCTCTCTCTCTCTCTCTCTCTCTCTCTCCCCTCCTCCCTCCCTCCCTCTCTCCCTCTCTCTCCACCCATTTACCAATGACAACATGTGATATTTGTCTTTCCTTGTTTGGCTCATATCAATTAAAACAGTTTTCTCCAGACTCATCCATGTTGCTGCAAATGGCAGAATTTCATTCTTTTGTTAAAAAGACCGAGAGCCACAAATGCTGCAGAGTCTGCAGTGATAAGGGACTGTCCTACACTGCTGGTGGGACAGTGAATTGGTGCAGCCACAACGGGAAACAGTGTGGAGGTTCCTCAACTACATACAGGTCAATCTTCCACACGATCCAGCAAACCCACTGCTGGGTATTTGTACAAAGGGTGACATTATTATGTGGAGGGGACACCTGCCCTCCCCTGTTTGTCGCAGCTCTATTCACAACAGCCGAGATGTGGACCGAACCTACATGTCCACCGACTGATGACTGGACAAGGAGAACGTGGCACATGCAACATGGAATACGACTCAGCCATGAAGGAGATTTCTAGTCAAACTAACCAACACCAGATGAACATAATATGACAGCGACAGACATGCACATTTTCCAATACAAAGACATGTCCATTCGAGATCGTGTGTGGCATGTCACTGCTGACTAAGGCGGTTCTGGGCAGGCACAGTAGTCAGAGCGGGCTGGACCCCTGCCCATTGTCCGCGGGCGCAGGGACCGCTGTGTCAGAGGGGACGCTGGGCTCCCAGGAAGGTGGCAGGAGTCCAGGTATCATGCACACCCGGCAGGGTCTCCGCGGTGCTGGGGGGCTTTCTACCTCAGGAAGAACCCTGAGCTCCAGGTAGGAGGCAGGACCCAGGTGTGTGCTGGGGAGGGGGGCACAGACCCTGCTTTGTCCACGGGGAGGGGGTTGTGAGTCAGAGGCTCTGAGCTCCAGGGGAGGGGGTGTGTGGACGGGATGACCCGTGGGGTCCCCACTCAACGATGGCAGGGGGAGCCCCGATGTCCAGTGCGACTCTGAGCTCCAGGGGAAACAACGTCTGTGCAGGCGGCTGGCATGCTCCCCTGGAATCTCCAGGGGTTTGCAGGCCTCTGAGCTCCCCTGTTCCTTTCCCAAACTGGCCATGTCCAGCGGCAGCCCTGGCCAAGGGCGTGGTGGTGACTGCGCGTAGCTCCCCTGCATGAATTCGGGCCTGTGGGCTGCTGGAGACTTGGGAAGGGCTTGCACAGTTGATTTGCCTGTTCCTCCAGCACTTTGGAATCCTGCAGATGCCCATGAGAAGCAGCCTGGATCCCCCATGGAGGCCAAACACTAGGAGCCTCTCCCGGTCAGTGCACCCACAATGAACAATCTTTCTATGTGGGAAGTTTGCACCAGACCCACAACCCAGTTGACCCACATACTCAAGGGCACAGCCAGGACCCATGTGAAGAGCCACAGAAGGGGTTGGATGGGTCATTTCCCCAGGAGAGCAGCAGGAGCTTATCTAGAAACAGGGGACATAGCAAAGTGAGCCTGGGGGGTCCGAGCCTCTGTGGGCCAGTGACTGCGATGGGACTGTGCCCCTCCTTCTTTCTGTTGGGTGCGAATCTCGTGGGGATCATGTCCTTGTCTCAACTGCACAGGTGGGCTCCACAGGGTGAGGGAAATGCAGTTTTGGTTTCCAAGCCTCAGGAAAGAAAGAGCTGCACTTAACAAGTGCAGTTTAGGAGACACATCTGCTTCCTGGCCCCGTTAAAATAGCTCCAGACTTCTGATGTCAGCTCGGTGCTTGCATGAGAAGGGTGTCATCGCATGTCTCACCCTGGGGTGACCACAAGCTGGACAGTGCCTGGGAGAGGGGTGCTGAGGTTCTGTATTAGTTGTAGGCCTCAGAGTCTTCTAATTACCTACTGTTTTCAATTGTTTCTCCCCTGTTGACTTGGGCTTCCCTAAGCTCTTCTCCTCAGAGTCTGAGCATTTGCAACTTTCACATTTAATCCACTTTCATTTTACTGGTTTGGTGGTAAAGAGTGGGGTATGAGAACGTTACATATTTTTTATGAATGAGAATATGTGGCATTTCTCCTTTTGCGTCTGGCTTATTTCACTTCATTTAATTTTCTCCAAGTTCATCTATGTTGCTGCAAATGGAATAATGTCATTCCGTTTTATAGGTGAGTAGCATTCCATTGTGTGTAAACACCACATGTTCCGTATCTAGTTGTTTGTCGATGGGCACATAGGTTGGTTCCCTACTTTGGCTGTTGTATATAGACCTGTGACGAACATGGGAGTGCGCATGTCCCTTCAACATTATTTAGGGTCCTTATTATATATACCCAGTAGTGGGATTGCTGGATCATATTTTGGTTCTATCTGTAGTTCTTGAGGAACCTCCGCACTGTTTTCCAAAATTGTGACACTAATTTACAGTCCCAGCCACAGGTGAAGAAGATTTCTCCCATCTCCACAGCCTCACCAGCTCTCGTTATTCTCAGTCTTGTTCATAATGTTCAGTCCAACTAGGGTGAGGTGACATCCCAGTGTGGTGTTGATTTGCATGTCCTTGACGATTAGTGATGCTGAACGTTTCTCATGTACCTGCTGCCCATTCCTATGTCTTCCTTTGACAAATGTCTATTTATCTCCTATGCCTGCTTTTTAATTGGATTGTTTATTTATTTATTTGTTTATTTATTTATCTTTTACTGTATAACTAGTTGTTTGAGATCCTTACATCTTCTGGATGTTAATCCTTTGTCAGATGTAGAGTTTGCAAATATTTTCTCTCTTTCCATAGGTTTTCTTTTCACTCTGTTGATTGTTTCTTTTGCTGTGAAGAAGCTATTTATTTTTATATTATCCCATTTGTTTATTTTTGCTTTGTTGCTTATCCTTCTACCTGTGTTCTAATGATGACTTTCAAAGGCCTAGAAATGCTTTTCACACTTATCTACTATTATTTTTCTTCTGATGTCTTTTATTTTAAAAGTAATGTGGAGTTCAAAATGCTTAGAACTCTCCCCTTATATAATCATGCACTTTCAATTTACATTTTGAAAGTAGCTCATCCCCCCCCAGTTTAAATTATAGCATTTAAATAAACTTTTCCAAAAATTGGCCTAACATCTTTTTATTTCAAGACTTTATATCTAACTATGATAAGTAAATATCACTGTTGGTTGGGAAGTAAATGGATTTGAATTGAAGAATGAGCAAGGAATGTATAATTGAAATTCTATTAAAGTTTTCACCTATCATCCGTGAGAGGAAATTATGATGGCACCAGGTAGGTGGCCATTTCAGCTCAAATCTGTGTCAGCTGTATTTAAGTGATTCTGTACGTGTAATAAACGAGTGTTGTCATAAAATATGTATCACAAAAAGGCAAACAAATGGTGCTTTTAAAGTTACATCTTAGTTAATGTTTTTGTTTAAAGTCAGAGTGTCTTGTACACATTCTTTTTTTTACCTGAGGTTTATTTTATAGAAATAAAAGTTACGACTATTAATATGAAATTTAAAATGTTTAAAAGCATGCTTCCAGAATGGATCTGGCCTTCACATCACGGGCATGACATGAGGGGTTATAATCAGCTTTGCATCTCATGAATATTTGTAACCAATATAAATAAATAAATATAATGTTTAAAGTGGTGTATAACTTAGTTTTAAATTTCATCAAAGTGTTTATATAGGAAAATAAAGCAAAGAAACTAGCAAAGGGCAGGGTAAGACTGGCTGAATTGACCGCCCTTGCTATTTATTAACAGGGAGTGGCTCTTTTCCATAAAATGCACTGCATGTTTGTGTGTGATAT